TTATTAGTTTTATTATTAATTATTAATATAATTATTTAAATGTTAAAGGTATTTTTTTATAATTAAGTCTTATTATAATTATTCTAATTATTTAAATTACTTAAAATATTAATAGTAATTAAGATATTATTATTATATTTTAAATTATGGTTAGATTTCAGAAACCTACTTATTTTTAAGTCAATATCATTTAATAATTACTTTAAATATCATTATTTTTCTTAAACTATTTTAAAAGTGTCTCTTTTTATGGTTTTAAACTTCGAAAATCCATAACTCTTCCGTTTTTTATCCGCTGTCGATGCACAGTACCTTGTTTTGAGCGTATTTGAATTCTGTATAGTTTGAAATTACTTTTGGATAAAAATTATACTTTTATTTTCTGATATTTCAAAAACAGTAAAACTGCTCTTTATTATTTCTATTATTTTCTTATTAATCATTATTTTACTATCATTATTTTCATATAAGATATTATCATTATCATTAGATATCGTGTTTACTGTTTTGAGCATTATTTTGATTATCTCATGTTATTTTATCGTTATTATTATTGTTATTATCATTATTATTATTATTATTGTTATTAGTATTAGTTTTATTTTAAAGTTAGCATTGTTTTAAAGTTATTACTAATATTATTTTATTATTATTATTACTGTTATATTTTAAATTTTTGTTGAAATTTCAAAAACTTCATTATTTTAAGATAGCCTTATTTTTATAATTACTTTTAAATACTATTATTTTAAAACTATTTTTAATATCCCCTTTTATTATTTTAAATCTTCCAAAAATCACAACTCCCTCATTTTAAATCGGATTTCGGCGTGCCATACCTCGTTCTCTTTGAAAAATCATAAACTTTATTTTAAAATTACTTGCAGGAACTGATTATGGCTTCTTGGATAGATTTCTATTTTATGCTTTTATTTGAGTATTTTTAGTATTATTTGAATAATTATTATAATAATTATTTTAAATTAAAAATTATTTTTAAACTATTTTGAAACCCTCGTTAATGTGATGAGTGGATCTCCCCTATACCTATATACATTACAAATTGATCTATGTTTAAGTACTCTACTTTCCAAAACTTACATATTTATGAGTATTTTTTTTAATATTTTAAAATTACTTATAATTAAATCCCTAATTCCGGGAGATCATCTATTTCATGAAATTTTAAACTTAAATTTTATATGTGAATAGCAATCATGG